GAAATAATAATCAGTGCAAAAAAAAAAAAAAGACACTGTACTAATGGCACTGGGGAGGAAGGGGTTTGTGCGAGGGGAGTGTTTTACTAGTGGGCAGGGGTATGTTCTTCACAGGAACAAGCTGTTCCGGAAATCTAAGCTCTGGTCTCCACAAGAGTGTGCTGGAAACTGACAGGGAGCAGAGTTGCATTGAAAACAGTGCAGCTGTGGTCTGTGTCACTGTTTGCTGGCAATCGCCAGGACCCGGATGGTAATGACCGGCCGGGACCCGGTGAATGACACCCGCGATCGGCGACGCGGGTAGGGTGGTTGCGCGCCCCATACCCGACATGCAAAATCACGTATATATATACATGATTTTGTGCAGAGGTGCCGACCTGCCGCAGTATATGTACTGTGTCTGTCCGGCAACCGGTTAAGTAACTATGAAATTAACCACTTCCTGACAAGGGAATATATATACACATTGGTCAGGAAGTGGTTTTGAGTGCCCTGCATTAAAGAGATTGCAAACCCCTAACTTGTGTGGGTTTTTTTGTTTCATTAAATTAAAAACAAAAGTTATATTTGCCTGCGCTGTGCAAAGGTTATGCATAGAGCAGCTCTGATCCTCCTTGTGTCCTCTGCTGCCAATCCTGGCTGTCCCCCTGCCAAGTACCCACCATAGCAAACTGCTTGCTATGGGGGCACTTATGTGGGCTTGTTCCTGAGCCATAGACACACAAAGCACTGCTTAGCCCCACGCCCTGCTCCCTCCTTACTAGCTGTGATTGACAGCAGTGGGAGACAATGGCTCCCATTGCTGTCTCTGAGCCTACAAGGAGGGAGAGAGCCACTGTTCTCATACAAAAAGTGCTGGATTGAGATCTGGCTCAGGAAAGTCTGGGGGGGGGGGGCCTGGGGAGCTGCACTCAGGTTTTTTTGTTTTTTTTTAACCTTAATGAGAATGCGTTGAGGTAAAAATAAAACCTTCAGCCTTTAGAATCACTTTAAGGTAAAAAAAAAAAACACCACATTACCTGATTACCTATTCTACTCCCATTCCTCAACACTTACCTGACACCTCTTACTGCTCCTGCACAGGTCTCTATTCCTGTTGTCACAGGACACTCTGAAAGCAGTGGTAGCCATAGGCTCCTCCTCCTGCTGCTGTCATTCAAATCTAGCAATGAGGGAGCAGGAGGAGTGGCTGAGCCATGCTGTGTGTGTGTCTAAGGAAGCACATAGCCCTGCTCGGGAATGCAGGATTAGAATACCTGACTTGTTTTTATTGTCTGTGCCCCATTATGGAGTCAGTCACGCGCTATTTCTCTTGCGCGCTCTCGCTTTCTTTCTTGCCGCCATAACAGTAACAGAAGAGGAATCTTTCAGTGAGGGCCCAAGTGACAACCTGGCACTGGTGAAAAAATAAAACTGACGTGTTATAACTCTCCCTTACTCTATCCAAAATTAAAAAAAATGTCTTTTAGCTCTACTTTAAACTACCACACTAAGAGCTGACAGGTTCAGGACAGGATTAGCTCAGGCTCTTATCCTGTTCACACACATGCGGTTTAGAAACAATTCCCATAGAAGTCAATAGCCTGTAATCTGCACCCGAACCAGACCGCACTGCTCAGAAATCGTACATGACTTTTTTAAAACTGCACTGCCAGTGCACTGGACATATGTGACCAAGCACCATAGGAAGCAATGTTTTTTTTCACATGGCATTCAGTTTGGAATGGGCACTTACCCATCAAACTCAGAACCTTCCCACCTGTGTGTTTGCTTAGCTCTTCACAATACTGGTGGCTCTCTCCAGTGATTACAACCAGGAAGACCACATACAAGTCTATGAGGATTGGTGCAGGATGTTGGAGAGATGAGTTGCACTTTATGTGACAGGTTCAGCTTTTGGTAGACATGAATTCCTGTTTCTCTATATCACTTTTTCATGCACCTAGGACTTTCCCACACACATGTTATGGTACTGCAGAGACCAGGCACCAGCACTATCACATAATCCATTAGACCCAAAGGTACCATGCATGTCCCTTCCCTTCCCCAGGAATAGAGATGAGCTTTGGGTGTCCTCTGAACCCCTGATTTGCATTTTGTTTTCAAATCCAGTGAGCTGTGGGCGGGGTCATTTTTTGTTGCACAGCACACACAAAGTGGCCAGATACCGGTTATATCAGTGCTCATATTTAGTCTCATTGGATACATAGTTTGAAGCTAAAGGGTAGTCAAACCCACTAAATATTGATATTTAGTTTTGTCTTCTGTTTGCTCATTTTTGCCTTTTTGTAAATTGATAAAAATAACTAAAATATATATTTTTGAAAGCTGTCTTACCTTACAATATTTCTTTTATACAGTGCTAGTGTGTGCTGTATATAACACCCTTTTTTTTTTTTTTTACATCTTAGTTGTGCAGAGACCATTTTGAATAACCATGCTTTTTTTCAAGCTGAAATATGAAAGAGACAGGTGCAATACATCATAATAAACTGACTCATTGAGAAATTCTACAGACGTATACCAGCAATCTATGTATAAAACTTTCATACATCTAATCCACTTAGAAAATTAACCACTTGAAGACCTGGCCTTTTCTGCCACTTTTTGTTTACATGTAACAATCAGTATTTCTTGCTAGAAAATTTCTTAGAATCTCCAAACATTATATATTTTTAAAGCAGAGGCCCCAGAGAATAAATTGGTGGATTTAGCAATTTCTTTTTATGTCGCTCGTTATTTGTACAGTGGTTTTTCAAACACAATTTGTTTGGGAAGAAATACACTTTTTTGAATTTTAATGCAAAAAAATCACAATACATAACTCAATTTTTGGTAAAATATAAAGGCTGATGTTACGTCCGTTAAATTTATACCAAACCTGCTACACGTTAAAATTGCACACGCCCGGCAACAAATGGCGTAAATTTTTACAATCAAGCAATGTTTTAAAAGCCTTTACAGGTTACCACTTTAGATTTACAGAGGAGGACTGGTGATAGAGTTACTGCCCATGATCTGACGTTAGTGTTGATACCTCACATGTGTGGGATGGTCGCTGTTTGCATGCATGAGAGACCGACAAGTGCGTCTGCCATTATAAGCAAGCATCAGGGCACTTTAATTTTTTTTTACACTTTTTTTTTTTTTTTTAATCACTTTTATTTCTGTCATAAAGAATGTAAACATCCCTTGTGACAGCAATAGGCATGTGACAGGTACTCTTTATGGAGAGATCTGGGGTCAGTAAGACCCCAGATTTCTGCTCTGCCCTTAAAAGCATTTATTCACACCAAGATCAGTGTGATTTAAATGCTTTTTTTTTTTTTAGTTCTGAGTAAACCGGAAGTGATGTCAGGTCATCACTTCCTGGTTACTATGTAACAAAGCCAATCCAGTCTTTGTTTGGCTCTGTGATGACCTGGTGGTAGTGCTGGATGGTCGATCGGGACTCCCAGTGGGACAAGAGATCCTATTAGAGCTGCTGGGGGGTGGGTGCCCTCCCGCTGCTTGTAATAGCAATCGAGTGGCTAGTTAACCATTCCGATTGCTGTTACAATAGAGATGGCTCTCTGCTCTATAAAAAAAAAAAAAAAAACGTTACCAGGATGATGTCTGCAGCTGCAGGCATCATCCCGGTACAACCACTTGAAGTGCAGTGATGTATCAGGTACGTGGCTGGTCGGCAATGATTCATCAAACAATCTGCACCTTTTCTAAAATTCGGCCACACAGAAACCGCATGGCACCTGAGCAACATGCGGTTTCATGCACCTTGCATAGTTAGTCTGGCTGAAAAAAGACAAAAGTCCATCCAGTTCAACCATTAAAAAAAAAAAAAAAAAAGTTATAGTCCTATACCCACAGTTGATCCAGAGGAAGGCAAAAAAACCCAGCAAACCATGATCCAATTTGCTCCTACAGGGAAAAAAATTCCTTCCTGATCCCCCGAGAGGCAATCGGATATTCCCTGGATCAACTTTACCTATAAATGTTAGTATCCAGTTATATTGTGTATCCAAGAAATAATCCAGGCCTTTTTTAAAGCAATCCACTGAGCTGGCCAGAACCAACTCTTGAGGGAGTCTATTCCACATTTTCACAGCTCTCACTGTGAAGAAACGTTTCCGTGTTTTGGAGATGAAATTTCTTTTCCTCCAGATGTAAAGAGTGCCCCCTCGTCCTCTGTGATGACCTCAGGATAAATAACTCTACACCGAGTTCACTATAGGAACCACTGATGTATTTATACATGTTGATCATATCCCCCCTTAATCTCCTCTTCTCAAGAGAGAATAAATTCAGTTCCTCTAATCTTTTCTCATAGCTGAGCTCCTCCATGCCTCTTATCAGTTTGGTTGCCCTTCTCTGTACTTTCTCCAGTTCCCCATGTTCTTTTTGTGTGAATTGGTGCCCAAAACTGAACTGCATATTCCACCTGAAAATATGCTGCATTTTCTGATGCGTGAGGGTGCCATTAAGAAATAAGCAAGAGCAGCCCAATTTGGGTGAGGGAACATATGCAATTTACACACCTTCCCCTGGCCGCAACAATGTGAACCTAGCCTTAGGCTAGGTTCACTTCTATGCAGACTGCGGGTGATGCGTTTGTTTAAGTGTGTTTTTGCGATTTTGAACAGGGGGTGGTTGGCTAATAGGAAAGTATTAGAGTTCTGTTCATGTAGTGTGACTTTGATGTGACTTTACACTCTCTGGCTCATCAAAGTAGTGCAGGAACCTTTATATGTCCAAAGTTGCATGTTGGGGTTGAATGGCATCCTTGATGTAAGATCTTGTGTTGGATGTGCTGGTAACAAAAATGTATTAATTACATGTGATTATGCCAGCTTTTTAAGCTGCTTTTATAATGACATCCACTTTTTTTTTCTGTATACTCTCTCAGGTGAGAAGTAAGTTTCAGTTTATTTACTTATTATTTTCATAATGTTTAAGCTTATGTTTATGAAATCTGTTCTTCTAGTTGAATAAAACCATTAAAGATGTCTTCCACATCGCAAAAGCATCGGGATTTTGTGGCTGAGCCTATGGGAGAGAAGTCTGTTCAGTGTGTTGCTGGTATTGGTGAAGTACTAGGACAGAGGCTCGGCGATAAAGGCTTTGATAAGGTAACCACAACATTTATTATTGCTGTCTTTACAATCAGCGTAATGTCAGAAATCATTTTACAGTGTGCTGTTATTGTAAAATAGTTTTTACATACATATACTTTCTAATTATATACATTTTGGGGGATATATTCATTTTTATTATATGCAAGTTGTGTATTTTCAGTACAAGCTTGTGGGTTAGCTCAGACTAATCTATCCAGCAGCTTGTATGTCAGCTGCACAATTTTAGTTTCTTGTTTTTTCTCTTCCAAAAATATTTATTGTTCTTACAAGTATCCGGGGAAATTTTTTGAAAAGAAAAAAGGAACAAGTAGCTTGTATGCATGTTGCTGGAAGAATGGAGAGTGAGTCACAGTAAAGTGAAAGTACAGACCAGTGTGAGAGGAAACTAAGTGCAGTTATAAAGAGTAGGTACACTCCATGGAAATTGTTGAATCTACGCAACGTATTTGAACAAACAAACATTAAATCTTCATTCAAACAATGCCTACAAATAAAAATTTGAATGAAACACGAGGAAAATGTGCCTTTTCAATAATTTATTCAACAAAAATATTAATAGATGCAATGGTGCGATGTGGGAAAAAGTACATACACCGTCGGCCTTAGTAGCTGGTATTGCCCCCTTTAGTAGAAATTACTTCTTGTGGGTGTTTTACATAACCGCCCATCAGTCTCTGACATCATTCCAACTGCTACAGGTTATCTTAGCACATCCTACTCCTCCATACTTGTTGCTAGGGGCAATTTCTTTGTAGCAATAAGGATCCCACAATCTAGGCTACTGGTGTCATTCCTTCCCTTCAGTCCCTTGATACCAAAGTCATACTCACCGCATATACCAGTGAGGCTGAAATCTCCTCCACAAGACCTTTTAATATCTAGTTTATATGTTTTGTTAGTATGTGCACAGTTAATGGAACAATTTGCTTGCAGAGGCTTTGATCGTACTCTGGCACCATGTATGATGGAATTATGACCCTGCTAGACCTCTACCTTTACCTTGCCAGAGGCCCCTATTATAATCTTTGTTTAGGATTCCTTAGTCTTCTTCTGAAGAGACTGTATTTCAGCAAATTCCATATGACTCAGAATTACAAGGCATTTATGATAATCTGTTGCAGTGTATTAAAGCCTGCAATTAGGGGATTAGCCTCCTGTTTGAGACACAGGCATATATAGCCCTTTAGAGCGTAAATGGCTTCAAAATCTTTCCTAATACACTCAGTATGTAAAACACTCCTCGTTATGGATTGTAAACAACCTGTAGAATCGTGGCTACCTCAATGTGAAGTTGCTTTTTCCCTTTAAAAGGAAATTTATTGATAAATGATCTCAGCCTAATGTAGCTGTACCAGTCATATACCTTAACAAGCATAGCACCAAATAGGTTGCTGATGATCTTACCTTTTAGGTATTTGACTCTGTTGGATTCCCAGCTTAGGTCTCAGGTTTACTTATCTGAAGTAACTCTGTCTCTTGTTTGCTATGACTCAGATTTAAGAATACTTAGTATTGTGGATCAGATATCTTTTAAGAGGACTCTCCTATTCAAGGACAAACCCTTGTGTCCTGGAACATTTGGGACAAATACCTGGAGACCTGCGGTTCTGCTGTGGTGGTCTCTTACAAGCATCTAAGCTTGTTTCTTGCATGGGCATAGTCTGTTCTCAGATGCTTAGGATGCTTTGGCTCAATGGCTAGCAATTTTAAAGTGCTTCTAAAGTTAAAACCTTTTTTTTTTTTTTTTACCTTAATGCATTCTCTGCATTAGGGTGGAAAAAGGATTTACCACTTGTTCCTTCTTCCCAAACACTTGCCTAATTCCTGTATCGATCGAGTGCTTTGTCCAGCTGTATTTCTTCTCTCTCCTCTCTTCCTGCATTCAAGGGAAAAATAGGCAGCAGCGGAAGCTATTGGCTGCTACTGCTGTTAATCCAATCCTGTGAGGAGAAAGCAGTAGGGTGTAGCTGCAGTGTGTGCGTCTATTGACACGCACAGCCCGGCTCAGGAGATAACTGTATACCCTCTGATTCCTGCAGCACCTCCCCCCCCCCCCCCCCCCCATTCCATCAAATGAGTACACCCTATGTGGTAACTGGCTCTTTCCAGCCCCGTCCCTCACCTTTTAGGGATTTATGGATTGTTAGGGAGTTCTTTTTAATATGCGCCCTCTTCTGGTGCTCTCCCTTGATTCTTCTTCTGAGCTAGAGAATCTGGAATTTGGACCGGCACCAAGTTGGCCCTTCTCTTCACCCTACCTCCTACTTTCAAAGGTTTCAGAGATACTACCCTTCTATGTTACCTAAGTTATGTGTTTCTTTTTCCTCTCTTGTTTTTTTGGAATAACTGCTGAGGGGTCTCTCACATCTACTATGTCTCCTTAAAGCGGAATTCCACTCACACTGTAAAAAAAATAAGTCAGCAGCTACAAAAACAGCTAATCACCTGTCCCACGATCCCGCGGTGCCCCCGCCGCAGCCCGTTTCACCGGCCCTCCTGTATTCCAGGCACCGGCATCTTCAGTGTGAAACCTTACTGTGGCAGCTTGTGGCTTCACAGCCAGGTGCCCATTGCGCATGCGCGAGTAGCGCTGCGCTTCCTGAATGGCCCTGTTGTCTTCTGGGACCTGTCACGTGTCCCACAAGACTACGGGGAGGGGAGGGTAGGAGGACAACCTAGGCGATCACAGCCAAAGTGGGAACGGGTACCTGACGATTTTGGGTAACTTCTCCCCCCCCCGCTCCCCAAACGCGCCAATCCTTAATGGGCAGCGGGGGGACCAATCTCTTGAATCTTTATTTCCTTGAAGCCCAGGGAAAATTCCATTTTAAAGTGGTTTTACAGCCTAAATATTTTTAACCTTCATGCATTCCCTCCAGTCTGCCAAAAAAAAATACATAAATACAATTCAGCAATGTCATCACCCCAGCCGATTCTTCAATTGGCTTCAGGTGCAGGCGATGGCATATTCAGTAACGGTAACTGAGTGTGAAGCCTTGTGGTTTCACAGCCGGTTTCCTACTGCGCATGCGTGAGCCGTGCTGTACATGGTGAATGGTCCCGCAGTCTTCTGGGACCTTTGTGTGTCCCAGAAGGCTGTGAGGGGAAGGAAGAGTGGGCCAAACTTCCTCACGGATTGCTTGCTTGCTATGGGTACACACCATGAAAAGGAGCCAGGAGCACCAGCGTGGAACCCAAGGAGGTTGAGGTTCCCCTCCATTGACTATAAAGAAAATACAATTTTTGTACTGTAACTGTAAAATCTTTTTCCCAACGTCTATACAGGGACACAGGTCCTGCCCTTGTGTGTTGTTGGCCTTATGTACTGCTTGCATGATGGAGCTGGAGGTCATATAGAGGATGGCTCTATTTTTTTAATTTTTTCTCTTTCAATCTCCAGAAGGCGATAGTATAACCCAAATGTCAAACAATTTATAAATTTACTTTTGGCCTGCAAAAGGGAAAAAAAATTAAAGGTCTGTCGGCGAAAGAGTTTAAGGGAATGTATACTACTTTTCAATGTTTATCCTCTTCCAGCCTATTGATAAATGACAGCCGAGATGTACTCCCAGTTGCCCCCCTACAGTATGATCTGTAAACTGCTGTGTGAGACATGACAGATTAATTACCAACAAAAGAAAGCTCTGTCTCAAAAAGATAAACATATTGTTTGAGTACAGTGTTGCATGACTGAGTAATTGGTATTCAAAGTGTGACAGCACTGAATGTTGGTCTGGGAAGGAAGGTGATTAAGTGTCCGGTATTGAAGTGGTTAAGTAAAAACATTAAAATAAATACTGCAATAACTAAATATGTTCTCACTAAAATACACAGTAATTTCCATTTAACCTCTTCCCTACCGCATTATAGCCGAAGGATGGTTACAGCATGGTTGTCTAGTTCTGGGACGACGTCCATGGACGTCATTCCAGAACACGCCCCCAGCAGCACGCACCCGGTGCCACTGGTGATCGGTGTCCTACGGACACAGCTGATCAAGTGATATGGTAAACGGTCAATCACAGCAGCCTTTTACCACGTGATCAGCTGTGTCCAATGACACAGCTGATCACCGGGTAAATACAGTTGCCGGTTATCGGCTGCACTTTCCTCACGTTGTGCAGTACTGCCGATAACCGGCAATTGTCAGAGAAGTGATCGGCCGCCCAGCAGTGCAGCATCATTAGTGCCAGCTCATCAGTGCTGCCTATAAGTGCAGCCTTATCAACACATATCAGTGGAGAAAAATTACTTGTTTGCAAAATTTTGTAATAGAAACAAAGAAACCTTCTTTTTTTTTTCGTTTATAGCGCAAAAAATAAAACACCCATTGGTGATAAAATATCACCAGAAGAAAACTATTTGTGTGAAAAAAATAACAATTTCATATGGGTTCAGTGTTGCATGTCCGCGCAATTCTCATTCAAAGTGTGACAGCACTGAAAGCTAAAAATTGGCCTGGGCAGGAAGGAGGTTTAAGTGCTCAGTAGGCAAGTGGTTAAAGCAGAACTAATTTCTCCTTTACAGCCAAGGAAGCTGCCATGTTAGCCTTTGTCAGTTTGGTTCAGAGCCCAAGCATGGCATTCCTTGAATATTAACTGTTTTTGGAAGCAGTTAAAGCTGAATTACATCTGTTTAATGTTTGAGAGAAAAGGGAGCTGTGACAGTTATTCACGACATACCCAAACTGTCAGGCCATCAAATGGCAAGTGTCATAACTGATCACATGTGCAGCACCATGGCAACTGCAGATGAAACATGAGGCTAAGATGGCTTTCTTTGGCTGTAATGTATAGGAGGGTTTAGTTCTACTTTAACCACTTCCCGTCCTGCCCATGTAGATAAACGGCTGGACGGGAGCGCTGCCAATGCAGGTGGACGTTTCTAAACGTCCCCCAGCATCCATTGCCTGTGCGTGCTCCCTGGGAACACAGATGGTAGTACGGGACTTTTAAAAAATTATAATTTTTAGTTATAAACTCATTTGGGTTTTTTTTTTACTAAAAAAGATAGATGAATACATTTTGGCCAAGATTTATGAAGAAAGATTATTTGCAAAATTTTATAAGAAAAACAAAATTTTTGGAATTTTTCATTTATATAGCAAAAAAATAAAACTTTCTTTTGGTGATATTTATTCACAACTGGGATTTTTATCTGTCTCAAAAAAAAAAAAAAAAGCTAAAAAAATTCATATAGGTACAGTGTTGCATGACCGCACAATTGTCATTCAAAGTGTGATGGCACTGAAAGCTGAAAATTGGCCTGGACTGGAAGGGGGTGAAAGTGTCCGGACTTGAAGTGGTTAAATCAATTGGGTTTAGTTCTGCTTTAAGCAGTATGTTCACCCTTTACTAATACAATGTATTTTACTGTTTTCAGGCTTATATTCTCTTAGGTCAGTTCCTTGTGCTGAGGAAGGATGAAGAACTCTTTAAGGATTGGCTAAAAGATACATGTGGAGCCAATGCAAAGCAGGGAAGAGATTGCTATGGATGCCTTAAAGAATGGTGTGATGCCTTCTTGTAAAGTTGTGTATGCCTTGGTGTACTCTCTAATCCAGCTACTGAAGTTTACCATTCATTTATATTTTGCCCATCAATCCTAAAAATTCCAAATATGAGTGTTTTATCTGGACATTTCGACAAATTTTGGATTGCTACTTTTTACATTCATTTTGAAATTATTTGTTCACTTTTCTTCTTGCATTAGTCATTTGGCCCATGCGCTTTTACAGATGAATGTTTTAAACAATATTAGTATGCTATTGTAAATCTCATTATAGGTATTTTTAAATTCAAAGTTACAGCATGAATACACCTTTTGAGAAGAATAAAATGTTGTTGTATTTTAAAGTTTAACTGACAGTTTCTCTTATTCTTTTTTTTGCCTTGTGTTATGAATGAATTGCTCTGAGACTCTTTGTTCACTCTTAATCACACTGGGATTGAATTATTAAAGTGTCTGAAAAAATGTTTTCTCTCTTTAGGTCAATCTGGTTGCTGTCAGTAGAAAGTGTTTTTCTCTCTCATAAATCAGGAGTATTGTTAATGTGAGCAGTGATTGTTGGACTCTATAGCATGTAAATTAATAGTAAATTGGTTTGTCCTTGTTATTTCTGATTTTATAACTTGAAAATCCAGCTTTAATAGTTTTTTTGTGGTTTGTTTGGGGTTTTGTCTCCATCTTCCAGCTGTCAGAAATGTATCTGTAGGGTTTAGAACCTTAAAGAGATGTAAACCTTTCACGCTGACTGATGTGGACATCAACACATAGATCAGGACTTTCAAGTAACAGATCTAAAGTAGCGAGGGCACAGCAGTGAGTGTAATTAACGTACTGCTTTTCACTTCTATAGTCTAACAGTTTCTACTTGCGAGAATGGTACTATTTGCTGTCAAAGGCCCCTTTCAGACATTTTGACGGCTGTTGTAGTGTGGTACTCCATGCTCATTATGTGCATTTCATTATGACAACCCATTTTATTCTCAATAGGCTGCCAACACACAGCAAAAAATCAAAATCTGGACATGTATAATTAAATTTTACCACAGCGTACTGCAATCCATGGCATATGTGTTGTGGTGTGCTACAGCACAGGTTCATTGCAACCTACTGTACTTGAGTGTTGAGGTGCCATTGAATGAATTGTGTGGTTTGCCTTGTCGTAAATGCATAGGTCTGAAAAGGCTCTAAAGCCTCATATATAGTCTTTAGGGAGGTTATATTTTAACTTTCTGAGATTTTCAAAAGAGTTTAGTTGCTCCAATCCTCAATGTGAAAACTGCTTTTAGCTTACGCAAACCATTTTTTTCCTTGTTTAAAAAATTTTTCTTATTTAATTGGACTCATTAGAATATATGAATTGCCACAGCAGTGGTTTTACAAGCTGAAACTTTTTAAATGGACTGCTGAATTTGTAAGCTTAATGTTCTATTGCATTTAATATATATTGATTTCATGTCACCAGAAAATGTTTTATGATACTTGGTTTCAACTATATTCAAATTGCTTGGCTTTGTGTGGGAAAGGTGAATTATTTTAATTTTTTATTTGATTAAACATTTAACAAAAAAAACTTTGCCTTTTTCTAATAGTGCATATTTTTTTTATGTGAAATGGACTGCAAGTAACTAATGTAAGTGAGAACCTCCTGCGCTCCTACTAAATCTCTGAAACTAATGAAGCTGCCAAAATCCAATCATACTTAATGATCTATGAGCAAGTACACAAAAAATTATGTAGCGCTAATACCAAATTTGCAAAATATAAACCGTACATATATAAGTGAAAAATGAATATGAGCAACTTATATAGACATAAATGAATAAAATATAAATGAACTTATGTGACATATGACAAAGTGCATAACGTGACTATATCTCATAGGCTTTGCCTATACGCTATGAAATCTAAATATAAAGCATGATCTCTCAGGGATCAAGAATAAGTGAAAAAGGATACCGCTAAACAAATACGTGAAGAAGAAAGTGTACTCAATATTCACACAAATGTGTGTGTGAATTGATCCTAATTGGATCTAATGGTGGTATAAATTATCCAAAATAGTCCGAATGGGACTAGTGCATAAAGTGTGCCCAAATTGATCCTAATTGGATCTAACGGTGATGGTAGAACATCCAAATGGGACTAATGTATCCAGTCTGCCCAAATTGGAACAATCAAAAATGCATGTAATCACATAAAAAATTATCCCAAAAAAACAAAAATAACTATACACAAAACCGTGTCAGCAGACAACACACACATGACCGCATGCGTGATATTGCTTACAAAATGTCACATGACGTGAATAACATATACAATCCAGAAAAAAACGCATGTCACTGAAAATGCTAATAGACAACGTCCAGAATGGTGTGAAAACACCTATTCAAATATGACAGACACCCGTGAAAGTGGGTGATAAGTGTGCTTGATGACAAGAGGGTATCCACAAATGGCTGCAATGCACGCTCACCTCCTTGCCTCAACCCGCAAAGGACCAAAACACTTTTAGGATCACTACACTGGATCCTCCATGCATGAGACTCCTCTGGAATTATGTCCTCTCCCCGTAGTGGTTTCCCCTCAAGGACAGGCTTAGTGGTATTAAACCTTCTCTCCAGGCAGATACGCAAGATGTGGCCAGTCATCTCATTAAACAAGAACTCCCATAGCATAACACTATTTATTTTCTAAAGGAGTAAAGCAAAATCCTCCAAAATATCCACTCATATTTCAATACATCTTGTTCAGAGCATTCATAGACAAAACCTCATGTTCTGGGTGTAGTTGCATGGGTGTACAAAGATGGCATCCAATTCGGAAGTTCGTCACCGTCGGTCACGTGACTTCCTCAGGCATAGAGAGGGAAAAAAAATGTTTGTAAAAAAAAATAAAATAAAATGAAAAATACCTAGATCAAGGTTTGATCTAGTTCAGTGCCAGGGTTAGTGTTTGGGTCAAGGTCAAAAGGTGGGGATTTAAAAAAAAATTGGTGTCAGTGTGTTTTAGGCAAAAAAAAAAAAGAAAAACAAAATGCGCACTATTGTTTCTGGGCTGTACTACGGGTACAAACAACAACTAACATACACATATATGGTATCGCTGCGATCGTCAAGAGCTAGAGAATTTATTTTGGGTTGTTCTTTTTTGGTAGGTTATGGTAGTAACAAGAAACACAGCTACATAAAAAAAAGATTTTTTTTTTTTACTATTTTGGGCCAGTTTTCCTTTGATAATAAAAAAAAATCAGGAGATATCCATTACCATTTACCACCAAATGAAAGCCCAACTTGTCCTGAAAAAAATGCGGTGCTTTAACTGCAGACTGTCAGCTTTAATTTGAGGGTATTTACATCCAAATCAGGTGAACGGTGTAGGAATTACAACAGTTTGCATATGTGCCTCCCACTTGTTAAGGGACCAAAAGTAATGGGACAATTGGCTTCTCAGCTGTTCCATGGCCAGGTGTGTGTTATTCCCTCATTATCCCAATTACAATGAGCAGATAAAAGGTCCAGAGTTCATTTCAAGTGTGCTATTTGCATTTGGAATCTGTTGCTGTCAACTCTCAAGATGAGATCCAAAGAGCTGTCACTATCAGTGAAGCAAGCCATCATTAGGCTGAAAAAACAAAACAAACCCATCAGAGAGATAGCAAAAACATTAGGCATGGCCAAAACAACTGTTTGGAACATTCTTAAAAAGAAGGAACGCACCGGTGAGCTCAGCAACACCAAAAGACCCGGAAGACCACGGAAAACAACTGTGGTGGATGACCGAAGAATTCTTTCCCTGGTGAAGAAAACACCCTTCACAACAGTTGACCAGATCAAGAACACTCTCCAGGAGGTAGGTGTATGTGTGTCAAAGTCAACAATCAAGAGAAAACTTCACCAGAGTGAATACAGAGGGTTCACCATAAGATGGAAACCATTGGTGAGCCTCAAAAACAGGAAGGCCAGATTAGAGTTTGCCAACCGACATGTAAAAAAGCCTTCACAGTTCTGGAACAACATCCTATGGACAGATGAGACCAAGATCAACGTGTACCAGAGTGATGGGAAGAGAAGAGTATGGAGAAGGAAAGGAACTGCTCATGATCCTAAGCATACCACCTCATCAGTGACGCATGGTGGTGGTAGTGTCATGGCGTGGGCATGTATGGCTGCCAATGGAACTGCTTCTCTTGTATTTATTGATGATGTGACTGCTGACAAAAGCAGCAGGATGAATTCTGAAGTGTTTCGGGCAATATTATCTGCTCATATTCAGCCAAATGCTTCACAACTCATTGGACGCCGCTTCACAGTGCAGATGGACAATGACCCAAAGCATACTGCAAAGGCAACCAAAGAGTTTTTGAAGGGAAAGAAGTGGAATGTTATGCAATGGCGAAGTCAATCACCTGACCTGAATCCAATTGAGCATGCATTTCACTTGCTGAAAACAAAACTGAAGGGAAAATGCCCCAAGAACAAGCAGGAACTGAAGACCGTTGCAGTAGAGGCCTGGCAGAGCATCACCAGGGATGAAACCCAGCGTCTGGTGATGTCTATGCGTTCCACACTTCAGGCTGTAATTGACTGCAAAGGATTTGCAACCAAGTATTAAAAAGTGAAAGTTTTTGATTTATGATTATTATTCTATCCCATTACTTTTGGTCCCTTAACAAGTGGGAGGCACATATGCAAACTGTTGTAATTCCTGCACCGTTCACCTGATTTGGATGTAAATACCCTCAGATTAAAGCTGACAGTCTGCAGTTAAAGCACATCTTGTTCATTTCATTTCAAATCCATTGTGGTGGTGTATAGAGCCAAAAATGTTAGAATTGTGTCGATGTCCCAATATTTATGGACCTGACTGTAATTCACCTGGATATACAAAGTAGTTTGTGATGATATGTACGGTTTTACTAACACATGTCAATGTTGCAAAATTGTGCTTAGGCATTTAGATTTGTTTTATCCTTAGGCGTGAAGGGGTTAAGTAGGATACCTGAGGTTTTATCCTCCTTTTTT